CCCCCTCCCCCCGGCTGGTGGGGTAGGGTTAATTGAGCTCATATCTTGGTTTCCATGATCATGGTTCTGGTCCTGGGTGGAGATGACCCTGCAGGTCAAATGCATCTGCCTAGAGCTGAGAGGGGTTAGGGAGGCAGGGGCTGACTGGTTTTGCCAGATGGGGCCTCGGGTGGTCCTGGAGGGAGAGAGTAATTGTTTTTGGAAGCAAGGGCCAGGGATATGATGAGTGTGGTGTGTGTAGAGTATGTGTGGGACATGGGAAATATGGAATTGAAATACGCTTTGTGTGTGTAATCTCTCATATAAAAGGCCCATGGTTGTCACGCTGTAACCCTGTCACGACCAAATGAGCAGCAGCTCTCTCTCCAGGGTGGGGGTTTGAGGGGGAGGCTGGGGTGAGTGATTAGTGGTGATGAGCGGTGCGGACAGCTGAGGCAAGCGGAAGCGAGCTACCCACACAATTTTGTGCCTGCTGGGCCTCTAGTATAATATAGGATGTCCCAACATTCACGCAAGATTTGCAATTGAATTGAATTGCAAATCTTTTGTGAACTTTGGGACACCCTATAAAAGAGATTTGTGTTGGTGACTTGTGGCCGCTATAATAAATTGCCACAGACTGGGTGGCTTATACTCAACAGCTTTATTTCTCACAGTTATGGAAGTCTGAGGTCCGTGTTACAGCGTGGCTGGGTGAGGGATTTCTTCTGGGTCACAGCTTTCTTGTATCCTCACATGGTGGAGGGGTAAGGGAATCTCTCTAGGGCCTCTTATATAAGGGCACTAATTATTCACGCGGGCTCCTCCCTCATGACCTAATGATATACCAAAAGCCCCACCTCCTAATACCATCACATTGGGTGTTAGGATTTCAACATATGAATTTTGGGGGGACACATATATTCCATATATAGCAGTGTATAGTGATGTAAGATGATGTAGTGTGGAAGCTTGAACATGTGCACGACATACATATGTGGTAGGTGGTATCCATATTGCCGTGTATTTCTGGCAGGTGCTAAACACACTATTTGATGTATGTGATAGGAATGACAAGAATTGTGGCAGATGATTGGTGGTTATATCTGTGGTAGGGAAATGACACACGACCATAGATATCTTACAGTGGTTGTGTGATCACTTTGGCCCCTGCACATAGGTTTCCTTTTAACGTTTGCCTCCTCTTTCTGCAGGATCTGAGATGGGAAATACCTGGGGGACTACCGATACTTGGATTACTGCTGTTTGCTGTAGTGTACTACTAGTAGCAGTCATTGGACTGATTGTATGGAAAAGGTAAGGGGGATGCCAAAGCCAAGTTTAGCCCTGTGTTTTGGAATTGACTCTGGGAGTTCAGGGGTCTTTGCCAGTGGATGATATTTGAGAGTTCTCAGGATCGATGCTGGGGGGAATCTGAGTGTGGTGTGTGTGTGGTGTGTGGCTTTTTCTGATGTTGTGTCAGGGAAGAACTGTCTCCTTAGATCCCTATGTGGTAGCTTGGGACTCTGGGGAGATGCACTGTAAGGCCCCTGTGCCTCTTCCTGACATACAGGTCTCACTGTGAACCAGGCTGTAGAACTGTGTATGGGCTGCATTGTTGTTCTCACACATAGAACCACAGCTCGGAGAGGGGAATTCCTTCCCCGAGGTGCTCACATTGTGTTAACAGCTTAAAGGGATAGCTTTCAACCAGATTTCACCATTAAATCAGAAATCTGTAGCCCTCATTGGTGTTTCCCAGCTAAGACAGCTTTCCAAACATATTCATCCCTAACTGTGGTCCAAACAGCAAATAGAACAGCTCAAGGTAAAGAAGTCTAAGGGACCAGTGTAGATATGTTGCTTAAAATGGTTCTAGATATTAAATTGCCCTCATTTTCAGGGGTGGGGGGACTCCAAGGCAGAATCTGTGCAATAGCTAATACATCTCATTAAAAATGTTTTAGGAAGAAAAAATTGGTTTCGTTATTCGTTGGGGCGATCCGTGCACTTAGCTCCTGGACTGCGGGTCTCCTTGGGCGGCAGGAGCAGCGCTACGGACTGAGAAGCGGTGTAAAACTTCTGCATGGAGTAAAAGAAAATGGCCCGAACCAAGCAGACTGCTTGCAAATCACAGTTGGGAAAGTGCACGCAAACAGCTGGCCACTAAGCTGTCAGGAAAAGTGCCCCCTCTACCAGCGGGGTGCAGAAGCCCCATCACTACAGGCCCTGGACCATTGCACTTGGAGAAATCCGTCAGATACCAGAAATCTACAGGGCTTCTGATCCGGAAGCTGCCTTTCCTGAGGTTGGTGAGGGGGATGGCCCTGGATTTCAAAACTGCCAAGATTTCTTATTTTACATTTACTTCTCTAACTCTCTTTTTCCCTCTATTTTAACTCTGTGTATATGTGTATCTCTATATAACATATAATTATTTTTGAGAATAAGTTGCACATGATACTGCTTTAACCTTAATACTCAAATGTGTATTTCTTCCAAAAAAGGATTTATCTACACTAATAAAAGAGAAACATGGTAATTAGTGTACGACCGCTACCCTTCCCATTGGCTAATCAGAATATCCTTATGCAAATTAACTGTCAGCCAAGATGGCAGCCGGCAGCCATGCACTGAAGCGAACAGGAAGGCTTGCTTGCTCCAGTGACGGTGGACTCCAACGTTCCCCACCTGACTTGCCAGCCTCTCAGCTGCAACTCTAAGCAACTATGTTGCAAATATAGACGCTAAACAAAACCCCAGAAACCGGCTTTCAGTCAGCCGGGCTTCAGCCAGCCTGACCGCAACATTGTATCAAATACAGAAGGTAAAGGCCAGAAACCTGCTTTCAGCAGTGAGGCCTCAGAGCTAAAGCTGGCCCAGAATAGAAAAAAGAAAAAAAGAAAAAAGGAGCTGTTGGGAGCTTCAGTCACCCACCAGCCGGAAAACAGCCCTCAGCCCCTCAGCCAGCCTGGCCAGGCACCCCAGTGGGGACCCCCACCCTGATCCAGGACACCCTTCAGGGCAAACCAGCGGCCCCCACCCGTGTACCAGGCCTCTATTCTATATAGTAAAAGGGTAATATGCCTCCCGGCACCAGGATCAGCTGAGTCGCAAGGCTCCCGGCACCGGGATCAGCGTGACAGGGGGCAGCGCCCAAACCCCCTGATCACCCTGCGGCTCTGTGAGTGACAGGGGGTGGGGCCACAACCTCCCTATCTGCCCTGCTCTGTTCGTGACAGGGGAAGGTGCCCCAACCCCCTGATCAGCCCTGCTCTGTGCCTGATAGGGGGGAGCTCCCCAATCCCCTGATTGCCCTGCAGCTCTGTGTTTGATAGGGTGCGGCGCACCAACCCCCTGATCGGCCCTGCTCTGTGTGTGACAGGGTGCGGCGCCCCAACCCCCCACCCCATGGGCCCTGCTCTGTGTGTGACAGGGTAGAGCCATAACCTCTCCATCAGCCCTGCCCTGAGTGTGACAGGGTGCAGTGCCCCAACCCCCTGATCCACCCTGCTCTGTGTGTGACAGGGGGCGGTGCCCCAACTCCCCTATCGGCCCTACTCTGTGAGTGACAGGGGGAAGCTCCCCAACCCCCTGATGGGCCCTGCTCTGTGAGTGACAGGGGGGAGCTCCTCAACCCCCTGATCAGCCCTGCTCTGTGAGTGACAGGGGGCAGCGCCCCAACCCCCTGATCGGCCCTGCTCTGTGCGTGACAGGGGGTGGCGCTGCAACCTCCCCATCGACCCTGCCTTGAGTGTGACAGGGGGCGGTGCCCCAACCCCCCAATCGGCCCTAACCTGAACGTGACTGAGGGTGGCATCGCAACGTCCCAATCCGCCCTGCTCTGTGCATGACAGGGGGCGGCGCCCCAACTCCCCAATCGGCCCTGCTCTGAGCCTGACCAGGGGCTGCACCTAGGGATTGGGCGTCCTTCTGGCACCCGGGAGCAGGCCTAAGCTAGCAGGTCGTTATCTCCCGAGGGGTCCCAGACTGCGATAGGGCACAGGCCGGGCTGGGGTACCCCCCCTCCCTCCCCCGAGTGCACAAATTTTTGTGCACCGGGCCTCTAGTCTTATATAATCAAATAACATTATCAACCTCCCCCCACCACCAATACTCTAATCCAGGGGTGGGGAATGTCTGGCCTGGGGGCTATATATGGCCCAGAGACCATTTGGTCTGGCCCTGCCAAGGCACTAGTGGTGAATTAATTAAATGTTTGATAGCAGGCTAATTTTTTTAAAAAAATCTTTATTGTTCAGATTATTACAGTTGTTCCTCTTTCCCACCCCCCCCATAACTCCCCTTCTTACCTCCCCCCACCCCCCACACTGTCCTCATCCATAGGTGTACGATTTTTGTCCAGTCTCTTCCCACACCCCACATCCCTTTCCCCCTGAGAATTGTCAGTCCACTCCCTTTCTATGCCCCTGATTCTATTATATTCAGCAGTTTATTCTGTTCATCAGATTTTTTATTCACTTGATTTTTATTATTTTGTTTTAGTTTATTTATTTATTTTTTAAATATATTTTATTGAATTTTTACAGAGAGGAAGGGAGAAGGATGGAGAGTTAGAAACATCGATGAGAGAGAAACATCGATCAACCTTGAATCTCAATGAACTATACTATGAATATTGAAGAGAGTGAAAATACATACACAGAGTCTGTTGTATTACTAATTAAGATGTAGCTGTGGCTTTATTAAAACAGCAGCAATTTCCAAAACATTCCTATAAAAGATAAAATAGTGGCTAAGAATTTTGCTTTCAGGACAACTTTTAGAAGCCAGTCAATGCGCAAAGGGACTGTTTCATTCTTTTGTGATGGCTCTGGTGACTTCTGGATAGTTCTATCTGCCCCTCTCTACCCAGTTTCAGGGCCTCAGAATGGAAGCTGAAATACTAGAGGCTGAAATATTGTAGCCAAAGTGGACAAAGGAGCTCCTTTTCCGTGAAGGTGTTTCTTTCTCTGAAGCTGTTAGTCCAGCATCCATCAGCATACATGAAGGTCATAATAAGGCCTTGTGACTTTCAAAGTATCTGTCTATGTACCAATTAACCGGGACTCTAATTGAAATATCACATTTTTTGAATGGACACATGTATGTTTATATATAAGCTTGTGCCTAAAATAGGTCTGCAGGGAAAACCATTAGTTATTTCTTGTCTTCTGAAAAACATGTCTTCTGGAATTTATACATGAAAAACACCTTTTTAAAATTATTAGTTTTCCTTTTCATGAAGGAAACCAGTGCTACTTAATCTATATTTTATCAATATTTATTATGGCTATAAAAACCATACAGTAATGATGATTTATACATCCTATTTTGAAGTTAGGATTTTATTTGGGGAGTATTTAAAAAAATTTTCTATTTAAATGTTGAATTAAAGATTTAACCTTTTATAAATATGTGGCCCAAAATGTTCTGTTAATTTTAAACTTTGAAAAGAAATTTTATTAGTCCTATGTGTATCTGATATTTCTTGGCTTATTTAGATAGTTAGACTGTTTTTTAAACAATAAAGAGATAATTGGATTTTAATTGAAAATCAGACACAGAGACTTTATATAAGTTTATTATATTTTAATTTGTTTATTGACTTTGTGTTGTAAAAAGTCTTTCAGTGCAATATTTGTTGGAATATTTTTTGAAATATTGTTGCTAAGGTCATTTGTATAGGTTCCTTTTTAATTATATTAAATGTAAAATCAGAACAATATGTAATATTTGTTATAAATTTTCTGTGCAAAAAGACAAATTTGACAATATTAAAAGAATGGATTGTTTACAAAGCAATAACTTTTCAGAGTCATAGTCTCGGGGCCTTTCTTTCTCCTAAACTCTGTGGGTCCCCACAGAGACTTGCAACCAGGGGAGCAGCAGGCAGCAGCAGCTCCTTCCAGGCTGACCCCCTGATCCTGTATCCAAGGCCCCTTTTTTCTGACTCTCCAGTGAGCTAAGCAGTCCCACTTTGGCTCACTTCTTTCCTATAATCTTTCCAGAGAGTCAAAGCAGAGCACTGCCTAGGCTCTCTCCTGTTGCTTCTACTACCCTGAGTCCTTCCTTTGTTCCACTGTCCCCAGCGTTAATAAAATACTCTCAAAATCACCTGGACTCAAGAAGCGATGCACAAGCCGGAGCAGCTTCCAGCTCAGCTCTTCGACTTGTCAAAGGGCCCTGGCTGGCTCATTCCCCCCCCCCCCGACTCATGCACTCCACCAGGTCAAGACCCTCTGTCTCTACACAACTCACTGTAGACTGTGACGACATGAGCACAAAGAAGGATTGGGAGGGTTCAGGAAAAGGAAGCATGACAATTTCCCCACAACCAGAGGAGAGAAAGGTAGGATATTAATGCATCGTCACCCGTGATGGTGGCCTTAAAATCATTTCAGCAGGAACTTGATGCAAGACATGACTAATATGAGAGACTTGTGAAACTTAGTCGGGATGTAACTGTACAAAGTAAATGATAATTTTCCTCTCTATAGGATTACAAGTGCTCCTGATATGGAGGAAATATTGACTGAGTCAGAAATTAAATTAGATGGTGTCAGACAAAAGATACTGCAGGTGGCCCAGGAGCTCTTCAGAGAAGAGATGCATTAATTCCATAGAGCCATTACCACAGGACTTACCACAGACTTCAGGAACATGTGGAGGCCGTCCCTTTCAACACTTTATTAAAACACGATCACTTATCAGTATGGATGAAATTAATAAACAACTGAATTTACAACAGAAGACAATGGGAAAGAAAATAAGGCCATGAGGAAACTGAGGTTTAGAGAGATGAAATAACTTGCCCAAGGACATACCCCTTATGAAGCAAGGTCCTGGAAGAGGTGGGAGGAGAGGGTCAAGGTCATTTGGAAGATTTAATCCCAAAACAAGAGGAGGGACAACTCATCATCTGCGACTGGAGGATAGAAGCCCTCTTCCGATGCTCAATGCTCACGATAAAGAGTTTGGTACTTGGAGACTGAAAATCACCCCTGTTGATTACCTCCTGGGAGTGGCTGATCTAACTGGTGAGTTGATGCCGATGTGTATGAACAGTGTGGGCAATGGGGACATTGACACCCCCTTTGAAGTGAGCCAGTTCTTACGCCAGGTTTATGCTGGGTTTTCATTCATTGGCAATACTGGACCTTAGGAGGCTTCTAAGAAGCTATTCGCCTTGAGACAGAGCCTGGACAGTGGAGAATGCCTGTTTTGCCTTGAAAGTCAGAGGCTCAGAAATTCCCAGACCAGTTTGTAAGACTGTTATTTGATATTTTCTTTGACTTTATTGTGGCTTTTACATAGGAAATTTTCAGTTTTACTTGTTTTGAATTATATACAAGCTGTACGTAAAAGTATCAAATGAATCATTTTCTGTGTCTTACTCATGAAAGTTTGCATTCGAATGTTTACCTATATGCCTATTTGAATTTTTGCTGGCTAAATTCTATCATTGTCTCTGCAGAGTGAATGTGCCAGCACTTTCTGCTACCTCTTTCACTTTACTTTGTGTGAATTTTGAGTGGTAGTAATTAGTAGAAGCCATTTATAATTGAAGTTGATGGTTTTGTAATATATAGAAAAGACTTTTTAGTTATATACCTGGCCTTGAGATTTTTGTTTAATTTATTGGCAATATTGTGCCAAGGCTCCAAAATAGGCTTATTCCATAGAACGGAATTAAAACTATTAAGTTATCAATATACTTTAATGTTATGTGGCATTGTGATAAGAATTCATATTATATCTGCTAATTTAGGCCACTTTGAAATAGCCTTCCAGAAAAATTGACAGAGACCCAGATGCTAGTAGTTTCTACATTTAACTTTTGTGCTTTATCACAGGAAGTCTGATAGAGAATTGGAATTAATATTGTAATATTTTTACTGGTGTTTGAGTTGAATTATATACTTATACATACAACTGTAAAGCTTTTAGTAGTGATTAGTTAGCAATTTTTTTTGTTGTTTATTATATTGACATTAGGCATGTTTGGAGACTTTCCTATTTTAGCACCTATAAGAAATTACATTTAAATAATTATAATGAAGTTTTGAGATTTTTGAAATACTGAGTTAGCCCAAACCTTTTATATAGTTGTCTAAATGTCCATTTGTGTTAATTGATAGTATAAAAAGGTGCCAAAGAAAACGTATCCTGTACAATTCAGCAATAAGATAATTGTCACCACAGTTAAGAACAACAATGCTAGTTTCTAGTTATATATATATTAGATGTACCCAGTTAACAATGGGGGATTTTGTAATCAAAGAAAACACAATAATTTCAAGAGAAACATCAAAACTGCTTTATTCAAAGTAATGTCTAGCTACGCATTTCTCCCATCTTTCAGGTAATTTGTGGATACTGTCTCAATAGAACTTTTCTTGTTTTGTGGCAAACCATTCAGAGACCCAATTTTTCACTTCTTCTTACATTTTGAAGTGCTGCTCAGAAAATGTATGTGCCATCGATCGAAACAAGTGGTAATCTGAAGGAGCAAGTTCTGGTAAATACAACGGGTGGGTTAATACTTCCCAGGCAAGATCTCTTAACGTGTCTTTAACTGGTTTTGAAGTGTATGATGGTGCATTATTATGAAGCAAAATTACTTATCTGTGTCTTCTGGTGCATTCTGGTCATTTCACTATCAAAGCATGGTTCAAATAGATTATTTGTTGTCGGTAGCCATCAGTATTAATGGTTTCACATGTTTTTAGAAGCTCATAATACACCACACCTTCCTGATCCCACCAAACGCAGAGCATTGTCTTCTTTCTGAAGGGATTTGGCCTTGTAGTAGATGTTGATGGTTGACCCGGATCAACCCATGATTTTGTGCATTTGGGATTCTTAAAACAAATCCACTTTTCATCGCCAGTCATAATTTGATGCAGAAAAGACTTTCTTTCATGTCATTGAAGCAACATTTTACTGATGACTTTTCAGTTTTCCATTTGTCTTTTGTTCAGTTGATGTGGCACCCATTTTCCTTCCTTTAAAATCTTTCCCATTGCTTGTAAATGATCAGACATTGTTTGCTGAACAACCTTTCATCTTTCTGCAAGTTGTTTTTGAGTTTGACACGCATCTTCATCCAATAATACTTGTAATTGTTGGTCTTCAAACATTTTTGGTTGACCTGGACGTTCTTTGTCTTTCACATTGAAATTATCACTTTTAAAGCAATTAACCAGCATTCACAAGTATCTTGAGATGGAGCATTTTCGCCATAAGCTTCCTGAAATATACAATAATTTTTTAAAAAATAAAGTAATGAATTAAAGCTTCCCACAAATGCTCTTTATTTTTGGCACGGAATTTAACAATTTTAAGTGTGAAAATATCTATGATGTTAACACCTTCAGCAAATTTGACATATGAAGTTTTGAAGCTTGCTGTCAATACAACAAAATAGCATACATATGAAATCGCATTTATATCAACATATGTGTAACTCCATCTATTGAAATAAATCCACATTATTAACTGGTACACCTGGTATACTTTACATATGTGAATATTTATTTAGAATAACAGAAATCACAAATTACAAATTTATAACTTGACAATTAGCACAGGTATTTCAAAATCCAGAAGAATAACATTCTAGTTTTATTAACTGCTTGACATATCTCTATATTGCTTTTTTTACATATTTGGTGGGTGGGAGTGTAAATGTCTTTGTAATGATTTTGTAGTCTTTTTAAAAAACACATTTCTATTGATTTCATAGAGGAAGGGAGAGATAGGAACATCAATGATGAGAGAATCATTGTTCAGCTACCTCCTGCACACCCCATACTGGGAATCAAGCGTGCAACCCAGCAGGTACCCTTGACTGGAATTGAACCCTGAACCCTTAGGTCCGCAGGCTGACGCTCTATACACTGAGCTAACCTGGCTAGGGCACTTGTTATGTCTACCAAACCTGCCTGCCGTGGTGAAAACTGTAGGGGAAACGGCCTTTCTGGGTGGGCTCCAGCCGGCGAGGGTGCTGAGGAACCAGGGCGGGGAGCGCCCGCCACCGCCGCTGCGGAGCCCGACGACCGCCGGGCTAGGGGCTACTCTCTATTTACATTGCAATTTGCCTACAGAGCTTAGTTGTAAGTTATCTGCGATGTTAAACCTGACCTCAGACATTTCCTTTGCGTTTTGTTTTTTAGACAAAATCTATTTACGGTCCCTAACTTCATGGCAGCCAGGGGTACCGGTACAAGTCCCTGCCCAATGGGAGAGGTTTGCTGACGAGCTCAATGCTCCTAGGCTGAGCCAGAGGGTCACGCTGCCCGGCTCCAACCACTTGGATGAGTCGCGGGAAGTGCAAAGCCAGATTCCCCGAGGCTGCCGGTGGGGGCGCAGGATCACTCCGCCTGGACGCCCCCCGCCGAGCTTCCGGGGCTGAAACCCTGAGGCTGCAGGGGTGTGAGTGTGGGATCGCTACTTGGGTACGCCGGCGCTTCCGAGGCTGAGACCCCGAGGCTGCCGAGGGGAGGGGATCGCTCCGTGGGGACGCGCAAGGTTCCCAGGCTGAGCACAGAGGCTGCGGAGGAGTGGCACGCCCAGTCATCTTAGGGTAAATCAGGTTGAAGGGGCAGGAGGGTTAGAAGGTGCAGAGAGGCCATCTAGTACCAAGCAAGTGACGGCCCTAAGAGGCGGTTTTCCTGACTGCGCTTTCCGACCGAGGACTCCCCTTTCCAGACGGAAACTCGGCGACGGCTCCAGGCAGACCCGGGCCGGGCGCGCTGGTCCCGGCGGGCATGGCTGTCGCGGTGTCGGCGGCGGCAGGCTTCCCGCATGGCTTTCTGTGGCCGCTCCTGGTTCTGTGGTGCTGGGTGTCCAACGCAGGTAAGGTGGCGTGGGGTGGGGTGTTGTGTGGTGGGGTGGGGTGAGGTGGGGTGGGGGGTGTCGCTAGGCAGACTCTCCCTGGTCAGCTCCCTCCTGACGTCCTAGGCCACCTGTACCTTAACAGTCCCCAACTCTAAGCTTTCCTTTGTGGAATTGTAGGAATCAATTAAACGGATTTGAGATATTGCAAGAGACCAGAATAATCAAAACAATATTGAAAGGAAGAACAAAGTTGGAGGATCTTATGCGGATTAAGGAGGGGCCATGAACTAAGGTCCTCTGTACCTGAGATACCACCCCCCGCCCCCCTCCCCCCAAGGAATTTGTTTTTGTGTTTTCGTTTTTCATAAAGGGTCAGGCAGAGTGCTTCTACATAGTAAGTTCTTTTTAAAAAAATTTTTTTGTATAGATTTCAGAGCGGAAGGGAGAAGGAGGAGAAAGAAATATTAATGATTAATGACGAGAGACTCGTTGATCCGCTGCCTGCTGCACGCCCCCTACTGGTGACCTAGGGCAAGAAATTTGTTTTTAATTACAGGGTAAAGTGTCTGAGAGTACAAGGCCTAAGTTTTTTTCAAGGTTCTCCCATAACTGAATTTTCTTCTTTCCACAGATTTGTTATTGGAGATGGAAGGGAAGAATAAGATTGTGTTTCTGAATGACAATGTCACCATCTCCTGCAAGGTCCCTGGTTCCACACCCCTGAACCGCACGTTTACGGGTATTACCTGGTTATGGAAGCATCAGGCAGATGAAACAGAGCACAAGGTGTTTGAAATGTATGGAAACCATCAAAAGGCATTCAGACCCGGAGCCAGCGTGTCTCTAGCTGGGCTAGAGAAGGGGGACGCCTCACTGCACCTTCCTGGAGGCCAGCTGAGGGACGCAGGAGAGTACCGATGTGAGGTGGTGGTCACCCCCGAGAAGGCCCAGGGAACAGTCGTTCTAAAGGTTTTGGGTGAGTGTCCTGTGGTTCCCATGGTGATGGGGCTTAGGGTAGAGATGTGGCCCGGACAAGTAGAGAAGTTTAGGAATGGGCCTTGGAGTTGGATAGACACGGGTTTACGTCTGGACAACTTAGAGCAAGTTATTAACCACGCTGAACCTCAGTGTCCTTTTCTCTAAATAGATGCAATAGTACCTCTATAAAAACCCTGTCTCCAGCCCTAGCCGATTTGGCTCAGTGGATAGAGCATGGGCCTGCCGACCAAAGGGTCCCGAGTTTAAAAAAAGACCCTATCTCCAAATACAGTCACAGTCTAAGAGAATGGGCTTAGGGCTTCAACATATGAATTTGGGGGTGGGGCCACAATGCAGCCTATAACGGGGGCAATGTCAATGAGACCTTCAAAATTGTACTTAAGACTTTGAATGTTTTGTACATATTAATTAGGGGGATGGTAAAGCCTATTAGGATTCATTTCCTCCACAACTGACAGAAAGCCTAAATTTTTTTTTTTTTTTTTAATGTGGAACGCCTCACAAATTTGCGAGTCATCCTTGCGGAGGGGCCATGCTAATCTTCTCTGTATCGTTCCAATTTTAGTATATGTGCCGCCGAAGGGAGCACCTAAAAAAATTTTTTTTAAAGTGATAGACTTTATTTTTTTACAACAGTTTTAGATTTACAGCAAAAATTGCAAAGATAGTAGTTTCTTTATGACTCCTACCTGTGCACATACCGCTTTCTCTATTATTAACCTCTTGCATTAGTATGGTATATTTGTTAAAATTAATGAACCAATATTGATACATTTTCATTAATTAATGTCCATAGTTTATTCAGATAGCCTTAGTTTTGACCTAATATCCCTGATAATTTTTCTTGTTCTAAAGGCTACTTTGAAATTCATAGAGCTATTCCAGTTTTCTTTAGATTAGCATTAGTATGGTATATAAATCCCTTTACTTTTTGTTACTGTTGTTGTTAATCCTCACCTGAGGATATTTTTTCCCATTGATTTTTGTTTGTTTGTTTTGTTTTTTGAGAGAGTGGAAGGGATGGAGAGGGGAAGGTGTGAGAGAGAGGCAGAGAGAGAAATCGATGTGAGGAAGACATTGATTGGTTGCCTTTCCCATGCACCCTGACTGGGGCCAGGGGCTGAACCTGTAACTAAGGTACCTGCCATTCATTGGCTGGAAATAGGACCTGTGACCCTTTGGTGCATGGACCAATGCTCTAGCCATTTAGTACACCAGCCCGGCTCAGTTATACTTCTTTAAAAAATTTTTAGTGATTACAATGTACTTTTACAACTAATCTAAGTTGAAAGAACACTGTACTGCATCATTGTTATCAGTGGTACAGATATTTTATAACAGAATATTTCCAGTTCTCCCTTCCCATCTCTTATAACATTCTGTCATTCACTTATCCATATGCTATAATCACCAATGCATTGTTGCTATTATTTTTTTAAAAAAACCAGTTATCTATTAGATCAATTAAGCATAAGAAAAGGTTTTAATTTACATTCATTTATGTCTTCTCTGATTCTAGTTTCTGACCCATATCCTTTTTCTTCTCACTGACGACTTTCTAATATTTTGCAAGGCAGGTCTATTGGTGACATATTTCCTCGGTTTAGTTTGAGAAATATTTATACTTCACTTTTGAATGATAATTTTTCTGAATATAGGATCCAAGTAGGTGGGTTATTTTCTTTCAACACTTAAAATATTTCATGTCCCTCTTTTCTCTCTTTCATTTAAGAAGTCCAATGTCATTCTTATCCTTGTTCCTCTATGAGTAATTTATACACACAAATATAATATACATTTATGTATTATATATACATATATATTTCTGCATTTTCAATATGATCAGGTGTTTTCCTACTTAGTGTTCTCTAAGCTTCCTATGTCTATGGTTTGGTGTCTGCCATTAATTTTGGAAAATTCTCAGCTATTATATTTTAAAACGATTTGTACTGCTTCCTTCTCTTTACTTCTTTTTGTATTCCTATTACATGTATGTTACAACTTTTGAAACTGTCCTGTTTTTGGATATTTCTTTCCTTTCTGGTTCCTTCCTCCTGCCACACCCCCAAATTCTTTTTGCTCTTTGCATTTTAGTTTGGGAAGTTTATATGGGCATATTTAAGCTAGCTGATTCTCTCCTTGGCAGTGTTAAGTCTATTGATGATCCTGTCAAAGACATTCCTCATTTCTTTTATAGTGTTTTTGGTTTCTAGCATTTACTTTTGATTCTTTCTTAGAGAATGTCCATCTCTCTGCTCACATTATCCATCTGTGCTTGCATGTTGTCTGTTTTTGTCATTAGTGCTCTTAACATTTTAATCATAGTTATTTTGAATTTTCTATCTCTTTATTCCAAAATCTGTGTCATACCTGAGTCTGGTTCTGATGCTTTTGTTTTTTTGCACTATTCAGCATGCCTTGTAATTTTTTGTTGAAAGCCAGATATTATGTATCAGGAAATAGGAACTGAGGTAAACAGGCTTCTAGGGTGGGAGTCTCTGTTCATTTGGCCAGGAACTGGGCTGTGTTTAATGTTAAGACCATGCTGTAGGTGTCAGAGATTTCAGTTTTCCTCTAGCGTCCTGTTTCCTCCTTCCCTGCTTTCTTTCAGTTCCCCTATGAACTCCTCATGTAGATTTTGTGTCTTGCAGCTCTCTCAGTTGTAATCTACTATCATTATACGGGAGCCCCGTTGATATGGTGGTGAAGTGGTGTGGAGGGGAAGCAGTCTATCATCTGAATTAATTCTGATTCTCTGAGTGGCCTGAGCCCCTAGGCTATGACCTTCAGAAGTGTTCCTGGGTGAGAAAGGAAGGTTATAGAGGGCTGAAGAGGTAATCACCATTCTCCCAGGTCAGCCTGGGCTCTGGCAAAGTCTTCTAGCTTGAGAGCGTTCTTTGTTATGGAGAATGCACTGGGTATATTTTTAAATGGTTACTTTCCATCTCTCCTCTCCCCCAAACAGTTGGAATTTTTCTTGCAACTGCAGGAACCTGAGGTGGGGGAGGGGGTTGGGGGGGGAGGGTTCCTGGAGGTAAAATGCAGAAAAACCTCCTAAGGCTGGCCTCCAGCTAATCCACCTTCATCCTTTAGCCATTTGTCAGTTATAACTCCAGCACCTTCTGCTTATGGTAATATGATTTTGGCTGTGGTTCTCTCAATCTGCCTGTCTCTCTAGCTTTCAGGGTTGTGGTTTGCCCTGTCACCTCAGTTCTCTGATGGATCTAAGAGAAGTTGTTGATTTGCAGTTTGTTCAGTTCAGGATAGGAGTGATGACTTCTAGTTCTTTACACCGCAGAGAGGAAACCAGAAGTCAGCAAGGGCTTTTATTATTTTTAATTAAATTAATTAATTTAAAAATATGTTTTTCTTGATGTTAGAGACAGAGGAAGGGAGATGGAGAGGGAGAGAAACATTGATGTTTGAAGAGAAACATTGATTGGCTGCCTCCTGCACACTCCCTACTGGAGATGGAGCCTGCAACCAGGGCATGTGTCCTGACTGAGAATCAATTCGGCCTCCTCTTGGTCATGGGATGACACTCACCCAACTGAGCCACACTGGCCAGAGCAACAGGGGCTTTTAAAAAGGTAGTTTATTTTTCTTTCCCCAAAATGGAGCCAACCCTGGGCAGGTAGGGCTGTTCTTTGATCATGTGGGACCCTTTTATCTTGCCACTTTGGCATCCTCAGCATATAGCTTTCACCTTGTGTTTAGAAATGGCTTCTCCATCTTGAACCATGACATGGTGTTCCAGCTGTTCTCCAGGAAGGATGAAGGGGAGAGGGAGAGAAGGCTATAGTACTTTTCTTTAAGATACCCTTGTTCCTTAAGGGTACTTCCTTGAGGTTGCTCTCCATACTCCTGATTCTATCCGAACTATTAGACCCTGAGTTCACCAGCTGAAGTGGAGGTTGGGAGATGTAGCTTTAACTTGGATGTGTCATTGAAGAATGGACAGCAGTTTCTACCACAATAGTGTTCCAGAGCTTTCCTCCGATTCTCAAAGGTGTCTATGACACCAAGTGGCATAAGAAACTCCGCTTTGCACAATGGCTGTGAGAGTCGGGATCATGGTCTATTAGCTTCACCCTGGCAGTGAGATCAGCATCCCCAGATTACTTAGGCTAAGCAGAATCTCATTTGCCTCACTCACCCTTCCTGAAGGCTTGCTATGGTCAGGCTTTGAACTGTTAATAAGCTAGTCCCAACCTACCCTCAAATCATGACTTCTCTTCCCTGGCAGCTTCCCCAAAGTGCACCTTGTTTCGAGAACAAGCCACGGCGAAAGATGATGGCGACGAAGATATTTTGTGTGAGGCAAGTGGGTTCTACCCAAAGGACATTAACATAACCTGGCGTATATATACCCAGGAGAATCCCCAGGGCCAGGAGATTTCTGACGGCATCACCAATGGTCCGGCCATCAAGAATGAGGACGGCACATTTAACATCACCAGCCGTTTGAGGCTGAACCACTCTCTGGAGCACAATGTGATGACCACCTACCAATGTGTGATAAGTCACATATCCCTGCCCACCTCCACAATGTTGAACTTCACCCTGTCTGGGACAGGTAAGCATCCTCTAAACATTAACCTTACTCTTCACTTTGAGGGTGTATAACGTAACACTCAGGGTCCCAGTTAATCTAGGCCAAAATGGGGGCCAATGGGGAAGGAGAGAAAGCTCCGTTTGGCCTACTTCAGTCCCAGAGTCAGCCGTCCAGGCTAGGTCCCTAAGCCAGGGTGGATCGCCTAATAGCTAGACAGTGGTGACAAGCGTCCTCAGCGTTGCTGGTAACTTATGGCAGCTCAAGGAGCTGGATGGTCTGTATGACCTGGAATGGGAAGCTTGTCAGCTACTAGGAGAAAGGGGATAGGATCCTGTCCATGCCCCTGAGGATAAGGGTCTATCAGGGGCCAGAGACCCAACCCTCCCAGCAACTCCTCTGGCCAGGCTCCAGGGCCACTGCAAGCTGTTGGCTGGTAGAAGTGAAGTCAATAGTTCTGAGCTCAAGCTGATGAGTCCATAGTAGGGAGTCCTGCACATGCCAAGGCCTTTCCCCAGGCACACTAGATCCTGAGCTTAAGATAATACAGCTCACTACAGAAGCCCCCCCTGCTGGTGGGGTGGGTTAATTGAGCTCATATCTTAGTTTCCATGGTCATGGCTCTGGTCCTGGCTGGGGATGATCTTGCAGGTCAAATGCATCTGCCTAGAGCTGAGAGGGGTTAGGGAGGCAGGGGCTGATTGATTTTGCCAGATGCGGCTTTGAGTGGTCCTGGAGGGAGAGAGTAATTGTTTTTGGAAGCAAGGGCCAGGGATGTATATGAGTGTGGTGTGTGTAGAAAATGTGTGGGACATGGGAAATTTGGAATTGAAATATGCTTTGTATAATATAATATGATATGAGTTGAGATGATATGATATGATATAATATAATAAAAGATAAACATGCAAAGTGACCGTACCTTTGCTCTGCCCCACGCCACATCCACCTGCCAATCAGAGCAATTAATTGCAAATTAACACATCCAAAATGGTGGCCGGCAGCCACGGCAGCTTGGTTGCCCCTGCAATGGAAGAAGCCAACCTTCCCACCTGCCCTGGCCAGATCTGGCCTCCACTGAAGCCAACAAAGTTTTAATTATAGAAGATAAATAAACCCCAGATACCTGCTTCCAGCCAGCCTCCACTGGGAGCTTGGATGGCTGGAGCAGTGGCCAGCCTGCAAACAGCCCTCAGCCCTCACCCAGATGGCCAGGCACACCAGCAGCACCCTTCACCCTGAAGGGGCTGTGGCCAGCCTGCAAATAACCATCAGCCCGTCACCCAGGCTAGCCAGGCACCCCAGGGGGGCCCTTACCCTGAGGGGCTCTGGCCAGCCTGAAAACAGCCCTCTGCCCCCGACCCTGGCTGGCCAGGCACCCCAGAGGGGGACCCATAACCTGAAGGGGCTGTGGCCAGCCTGCAAATGGCCATCAACCCCTCACTCAGGCTGGCCAGGCACCCTGGCGGGGACCTCCACCCTGAAGGGGCTGTGGCCGCCTGCAAACAGCCATCAGCCTCGCACCCAGGCTAGCCAGGCACCCCAGCAGGACCCCCCACCCTCAAGTGGCTGTGGCCAGCCTGAAAACGGCCCTCAGCCCCTCACCCAGGCTGGCCAGGCATCCCACTAGGACTCCCCACCCTGAAGGGGGTGTGGCCAGTCTGAAAATGGCCTTCAGCCCCTCACCTGGGCTGGCAAGCCACCCCCACAAGACTCCCACCATGATCCAGGACACCCTTAGGGCAAACCAGCTGGCCCCCACCAATGCACCGGGCCTCTCTCCTATATAATAAAAGGGTAATATGCAACAGCAGAATGACTGGGAATGACTGGTCACTATGACACACACTGACCACCAGGGGGCAGGCGCTCAATGCAGGAGCTGCCCTCTGGTGGTCAGCGTGCTGCCCCAAGGGGAGCTCTGCTCAGTTACAAGCCAGGCTGACGGCTGCCACTACAGCGGTGGTGATGGGAGCCTCTCCCGCCTCCTCAGCAGCGCTAAGTATGTCTGACTGCAGCTTAGGCCTGCTCTCCGCTGGCAAGTGAGCATCCCCCGAGGGCTCCCGGGCTGCCAGAGGGATGTCTGACTGCCAGAGGGATGTCTGACTGCCAGAGGGATGTCTGACTGCCAGATTAGGCCCAGTCCCCTGGGGAGCTGGCCTAAGCCAGCAGGTAGTTATCCCCCGACTGCAAGAGGGCACAGGCTGGGCTGAGGGACCCCCCCGAGTGCACAAATTTTTGTGTACTGGGCCTCTAGTATAATATAATATAAGAGATTTGTGTTGGTGACTTGTGGCCAGTATAAAAAATAAATATAAATAAATATAAATATAATAAAAACTGCTGGGTGAGGGCTTTCTTCTGGGTCACAGATTTCTTGTATCCTCACATGGTGGAGGGATAAGGGAATCTCTCTAGGGTCTCTTATATTAGGTCACTAATTATTCACGAGGGCTCCTCCCTCATGACCTAATGATATCCCAAAAGCCCCACCTTCTAATACCATCATTTTGGGTATTAGGATTTCAACATATGAATTTTTGGGGACACAGATATTTGATATACAGCAGTGTATAGTGATGTAAGATGATTTAGTGTGGAAGCTTTGAACATGTGCACGGCATACATATGTGATAGGTGGTGTCCATATTGCCATGTATTTCTGGCAAGTGCTAAACAATATTTGATGCATGTGATAGGAATGACAAGAAGTGTGGCAGAGGATTGGTGGTTATATCTGTGACAGGGAAATGACACACGACCACAGATATCTTAGCAGTGGTTGTGTGATCACTTTGGCCCCTGCATGTAGGTTTCCTTTTAACGTTTGCCTCCTCTTTCTGCAGGATCTGAGATGGGAAATACCTGGGGGACTACCGATACTTGGATTACTGTTGGCCTTAGTGGAGCAGGCATTTTAATGGGACTGATTGTATGTTGGACAAGGTAAGGGGGATGCCAAAGCCAAGTTTAGCCCTGTGTTTTGGAATTGACTCTGGGAGTTCAGGGATCTTTGCCAGTGGATGATATTTGAGAGTTCTCAGGATCGATGCTGGGGGGAATCTGAGTGTGGTGTGTGTGTGGTGTGGCTTTTTCTGATGTTGTGTCAGGGAAGAACTGTCTCCTTAGATCCCTATGTGGTAGCTTGGGACTCTGGGGAGATGCACTGTAAGGCCCCTGTGCCTCTTCCTGACATACACGTCTCACTGTGAACCAGGCCTTAGAACTGTGTATGGGCTGCATTGTTGTTCTCACACATAGAACCACAGCTCAGAGAGGGGAATTCCTTCCCCGAGGTGCTCACATTTTGTTAACAGCTTAAAGGGATAGCTTTCAACCAGATTTCACCATTAAATCAGGAATCTGTAGCCCTCATTGGTGTTTCCCAACTAAGACAGCTTTCCAAACATATTTATCCCTAAGTGCTTACCAAACAGCAAATAGAACAGCTCAAGGTAAAGAAGTCTAAGAGATCAGTGTAGATATGTGGCTTACAATGGTTCTAGATATTAAATTGCCCTCATTTTTTCTTGGGGGGGGGGTGGGGACTCCAAGGCAGAATCTGTGCAATAGCTAATACATCTCATTAAAAATGTTTTAGGAAGAAAAAACTGGTTTCGTTATTCGTTGGGGCGATCCGTGCACTTAGCTCCTGGACTGCGGGTCACCTTGGGCGGCAGGAGCAGGACGACGAATTAAGAAGCAGCCTAAAACTTCTGCGTGGAGTGAAAGAAAATGGCCCAAACCAAGCAGACTGCTTGCAAATCACAGTTGGGAAAGTGCACGCAAACAGCTGGCCACTAAAAGCTGCCAGGAAAAGTGCCCCCTCTACCAGTGGGGTGAAGAAGCCCCATCACTACAGGTCCTGGACCATTGCACTTGGAGAAATCCGTCAGATACCAGAAATCTACAGGGCTTCTGATCCGGAAGCTGCCTTTCCTGAGGTTGGTGAGGGGGATGGCTCAGGATTTCAAAACTGCCAAGATTTCTTATTTTACATTTACTTCTCTAACTCTCTTTTTCCCTCTATTTTAACTCTGTGTATATGTGTATCTATATATAACATATAATTATTTTTGAGAGTAAGTTGCACATGATACTGCTTTAACCTTAATACTCAAATGTGTATTTCTTGCAAAAAAGGATTTATCTTATATAATCAAATAACATTATCAACACCCCCCCCCCAATACTCTAATCCAGGGGTGGGGAATGTCTGGCCTGGAGGTTATATACGGCCCAGAGACCTTTTGGTCTGGCCCTCCAAGGCACTAGTAGTGAGTTAATAAAATGTTTGATAGCAGGCTAATTTTTTAAAAAAAATCTTTATTGTTCAGATTATTGCAGTTGTTCCTCTTCCCCCTCCCCTCATAGCTTCCCTCCTTACCTCCCCCCAGCCCGGCCGCACTGTCCTCATCCATAGGTGTACGATTTTTGTCCAGTCTCTTCCCGCACCCCCACACCCTTTTCCCTCTGAGAATTGTCAGTCCACTCCCTTTCTATGCCCCTGATTCTATTATATTCACCAATTTATTCTGTTCATCAGATTTTTTATTCACTTGATTTTTAGATTCACTTGTTGATAGATGTATTTGTTGTTCATAATTTTTATCTTGACGTTTTTCTTCTTCTTCCTCTTCTTCAAGGATACCTTTCAGCATTTCATATAATACCAGTTTGGTGGTGATGAACTCCTTTAGCTTTTTCTTATCTGTGAAGCTCTTTATCTGACCTTCAATTCTGAATGATAGCTTTGCTGGATAAAGTAATCTTGGTTGTAGGTTCTTGCTATTCATCACTTTGAATATTTCTTGCCACTCCCTTCTGGCCTGCATAGTTTCTGTTGAGAAATCAGTTGACAGTCGTATGGGTACTCCCTTGTAGGTAACTGACTGTCTTTCTCTTGCTGCTTTTAAGATTCTCTCTTTGTCTTTTGCTCTTGGCATTTGAATTATGATGTGTCTTGGTGTGGTCCTCTTTGGATTCCTTTTGTTTGGGGTTCTCTGCACTTCCTGGACTTGTAA